TGGCAGCGCTGCAGTGCTGCACACCTCCCTTTGAACTGCACCTTTGTCCATGCAGTGATGTGCAGCTGCATGGGAATTTTCGTGAGTCTGAACATCTCCTCATCACTCCCTCTCTGCAGCACGCGATTTAAGGAACTGGAGACTCCTGAGCAGTGGTACCGGTGCTGTACTAGCTCACTGCCCCATTTATTTTTTGGCAAGCATTTGTCCTCGGGGACTAACAGTGGTTGTGCATCAGGGGCAGGGGGAGCTGCGAGGTCCTGGCACACACAGCTCTGTGCTTGCTGCTCAGCCTCCCACCACTGTCTGCCTGCTCCTTGGAGAAGGCAAGCAACAAAGGAGAAACACTGACTACCTCGATGCTACCAGCTGCCATGGTTCAATAACTAGGTCAGCTAAAGGTTAAACCAGCTGAGGCATAAGCAGCAAGTTTAAATTTAACAAAAAAAAAAAAAAAAAGAGAGAGAGAGAGAGAAACAAAACCAAAACCAAAAACTTAGCAGTCCAAGTCACAGCCATTCACACTGAGCCATCTCATGTCTAGGGGGGCTAAATGCACCTTAGACATAAACCAGTGACATTAAACCAACAATGAAATCAGCCTGTTTCCTTGATGTACCCTGCTGTAATATATTAATAGCTTTTTGCTTTCTGTAGTAAATTCTGTCAGAAATCATAGTCCAATTCCAAATTGTACCATTTACCAAGCCTAATGCAACTTTAAGGACATTACACAGTATTTTGTCTAAGTATTTTTTAATCAATCATGGTTTAACATGCACACGCACATTTCTTAATTTTCCTAGTGCTGTGTAATTGTATTTGAAGCTTAGGATTTTGCTGATTTGGTGGGAAAGACACATCTAGCTTTCCACACTCATGTAGGGCGTACATACTTTGGAGATAGTGTAATGTGAAATTCCTCCACTGAGAAAATCAGAATGACATCTAAGGAAACTGCCTGTAGATCTCAGAGCCAGGTTTAAGCACTGGAAAGATATTTTCTGTGCTAACACTGCCACCCATCGAAAAATAAAAGGCACAGTCTTTGTATGTCCCTGTTTTCATCTCCCTCTTTGGTACGCTGCAGTGTTTTCTTGGACATTTTCTCCTCATTAATAACGTCATGTTATCAGGTAAAAATTGTAAATAAATTAAACCTAAGTGGTAGGTCAAACATAGCTATAAACCAGAAGATAAATTCTCTCCAGAACAAAAACAGTAACGTACAGAAGTTTCCCTGTGAATGGCAACAGGGAGCAGCTAAACCTCTAGCACAAAAACATGACATGTAAAACCATATACATCATCAAAGCATGATGTACATGAGCAGCCTGATCCAACAGAATTCCACCAGCTGGGCTCTTCCCTCCACCCTGGGAGAGCTGCACTTTTCCTTTCTTAGAGGGAGATTCTCCCTCTGACCTCTTGCTATTATCTCTGTGGTACTTACACCTTTTTTATCTCCTGCCTCACCAATATTAAAATGAAACCACGATTGCTTTTTGCTTAACATGGCTCTTTACCTTGTGGTGGAGTGGTGGTTTCCCCTTGATGCAGCCCATAGTTGTTTCCTTGCCCTTGGAAGGAAACCTTGGTTGTGGGAGGTTTCCTTATCTTCAAGTGTCTCTGGTTTCACAACTTCTTCCCTGAATCATGCTTTTACCATTTCCTCTCACAAATCATTAACATCCATATCATACAATGGCCATTGGCAGAGAAACACTTCAACCACGCAATTTTACAATAAATTCCCTTGCACAAAGATTTGATTTTCTTTGTTATTTCTTGCATTTCCCAAGAGTTACCCCTGCACCTACAGTAGCAGGAACTAAATTTTGTTCAGAAAACCAGCTGCTCTCTCCTTCCCTAACTCATCTTTTGCTGTGCAGTCCTGCTCCCACTCTTAGCTTTTGGTCAAAGTTCTTCTTGTTAGTAAAGCCAGCACAAGGTACATGAGGGATGTAAAGGCTCTCCTTGGATCAACAAAAAGACCCAAGGAGACTTTTTTATGAACTCGCAAATATGAATTAAAATGTTTTTAAAAGACAAACTGTTATACAATACTTTAAAACAATGCTCCTTCTCTTTTCCAGTTAGCAAGGTTATTAGCAAAAACCCAATCTTGCTTACGACAAAAGTAGTGAGTCACTTTTTTAAAACACTTATAACTTTGTTTTCTGCAAAGTGGAATTAATTATGCTCTTCTATTGAGAAACATCATATAAATTACGTTTTTGTGTGCTATATGAACCCCAGGGTTTTGTCAAGTGACTGCATCTCCTCTGCAACTAGAGATTAAAAACTTACCAGGATGGCACAGATGGAAAGGTCATTAACAGAGGTAGAGAAATCCATCTGCAAATCTCACTTTGTAAAGGGTTTTATGTAACAGCTCAATCTCACTGAGATGTTATTGAATAACAGGCAGCATGCTGGAAATCTTCTAATGCTTCACACAGCCTGGATTAAGGACAGGGGGTTAAATCATTGTATTTCTTATTGTCTAAAGGATGAAGAGTGGAGAGTTCTGGACTGGTGATTAATTAAATATGGATGCTATTATGATTCTTTCAAAATGAAAATAAAAAGGCAGCTAAAAGCATGATTTATTTTTCACTTGACACGGTCTCAGAAATGAGCAAGTCTCCAGAAGTTCTTGAAAAATTTAAGGACTAACCATTTTTCAATTAAATAGCAACAGAAAAAAAGTGAGATGACAAAGACAAGATACTGTTTGGGTAACCAGAGAGTTAGCCCTGGACAGCTTTAGTTAGGACTTCCCATGCAGTATTTTTACCTTCATGGGAGAGTGTGAACTGTTTCACAAGACAAAAGTTTATGAGCTGTGTAACCAGTGTCAGTTATCCAGTTCCCCAGCTGATGGAAAGTTCCTCCAAGTCCAATGATCTCTGTTGTTTTATGATCTGAGGTTGCAGAAATTCTTTCCAGTTCTTACCACAATTCTGGCAAATCTAAGATGCTTAGCTGCCACTTCTAACTCCTTAGCTGGATTCACTTATTCTCTCAGGTTATCTAAATTTTCACCTTATTTACTAATTTTGCTAAATATGTGGTAAAGGAAACAACTGCAGCAATCTGATCACTAAACTTGAGCAGCACAAAATCAGAAAATCTCAATGGGCAACAGCAAAATTTACACAACTTCACTGTTGGATTTCACTGTATTTGAGAAACCTCTGTGCAAGCACAGTTATCTTTGCTTTGATTAGGCTTCACACAATTGTCACTGTTTGCAACTGAAATTCTCCTTAAGATACAAGAATTGCAACATTGTTTTCCTACACATCTTGATGTGAAGTTGATCATTCTTAATGATTTGCATTCTCCCATTCTCCCCTTACTGCCCTACAGAGATGTACATTAATTTTTCTATGTAATTTTGTATGCAAGATTATTGGAAAAATGGTGCTTCCAAGATTTAGGGTGAATAACGAAGAAAAAAATTTAAATTAAAAAATTTTAATTACTTGGAGGAATGAAAGCAGTCTCCTGGTTATGTCTTATTAGGCCAACTTCCTAACACCTCACTTAAATTTGCATACCATCCCCAGTTTATTGTCAGCAGATGAATTTAAACTACAAGATCCTTTTCACCAAAGGCACAGGTGTGTTTGTCTACTGGCAAAATATTATTCCATCTATTCCTCAAACAGCCATGGACCTCACTCTAATGCAAATTGTAAATTTAAATTCTATGCAGCACCTGCCATGGAAGTAAATAGGTATTTTCAAATAGTCCCAAACAATGTTTATAAAAATATTTGAATAACTGCTGAAGTCCAGGGATCAAATATGGTTGAGCCTGGGACTTCAGAGCTACAGACAGAAATGAAGCTGTGTGCCACCCCTTGCAGGAAAAATAATAATGATGGACTTAGCCACATGAATCCCTAGAGGACAGATCTGGTTTCCAATACATGTAGTTTCTACTCCTAACTCAAGTAACCAGAAACTTTCAGCAGATTTTGGTGAGATTGGATTTCTGGTATCTCATTAATAGATGGTCAATAAAGCACAAAATATTTATAATAATTAAGTTATAATATTATGAGTTAATTCCCTAAGAATAGTGCTGATGAATAAAAAATGCACCTCCAGCAACTCCATATACAAGGAAACTTAGCAGCAGAAGCTTATTTAACAAGGAATAATATACAATATAAAGACTTTCAGAACAGCCTGGACTGTTGCCCCAAATTTACACAATTATTCCAACATCAAAGAGAATCCAGGTACACAGCAGCAGTGGCATTTCTCTTTTCTTTTGCTTTTTCACTGGCCAGAAGAAACCAATAATTTGAAAATACTGAACAGAAGGATTCTTCAGCAGGACTAGAAAGCAACTGAAAATACTGGCACGGACTTCTCCCCACAGCTGCATGCCCAGAACCATTCTGTGCATGTGCTTGTGTGCAGGGGTAAGAAATTGCAACTTATCCGTTGCTTGGACATTTAAATAAAGCTATAAATGCTAAGAAATTGACCTGCCATTTTATGTGTCTGCTTTTGAAGTGAAACTGCTCTGTTTATGCAGAACACTTGTTCTGTTTACTCTGTGCCCTCAAAACAACAGACACACTCACAATCTGTGAAAACTATAGGCTAAATGAGGAGCAAAGAGGACTGGAGAAACTGAGTAGTAAATAACTTTTTTCTTGCCTCAGGCAACACTCCTGCACAAGGCAATTACTAAAGGATTATTAAACAGAAGCAGGCACAGACAATTTTATTTCCTGTCACCTCTACTCTTCTGTTGATGAACATGCAAGCCTTAAGTTTCAGAACAGCCCAAATAAGAAAACCAGGTCATGCTCAGGAGGAGTCACATTTGAGAAGATATTCATCACTAGATGTGGTGGGCTGACCTTGGCTGGATGCCCACCAAGCCACTCCATGCCTCCCCTTCCCAGAGGGACAGGGGAGATAAAATAAGACACAAAACAATTTGTAGGTTAAGATAAAGCAGTTTACTAAAATAAAAGCAAAAGTTTGTGTGTGCATAAACAAAGCTAAAAAAAGAGAAATTTTATTCTATACTTCCCATCAGCAGGCAATGCCCAGCCACTTCCTGGGAAGCGGGGCTTCAGCATGGAAGTGATTGCTTGGGAAAGCAAACACATAAAACTGAATGCAAGACCTTCCTCCTCCTTTTCTTATCTTTGATATCCCAGCTGATGTCACACGGTGTGGAATGTCCCTTTGGCCAATTTGTGGCAGCTGGCCTGGCTGTGTCCCCTGCCAGGACTTTGCCTACCCCCAGCCTACTCAAGGCAGGTGGGATGCTGCAGAGACAGGGCTGCTGTTGGGCCAGCACTGCTCAGCTGCACCAAAACACCGCTGGGTTATCAGCAGTGCAAAGCACAGCTCTGTGAGGGCTGCTGGGGGCAATGAACCCCAGCTCACACACACCCAGCACACCAGAGTAATAACATTTTACACCCATTTCAGATAGTTCTGTCCAAATGCATTACTTTGCTCTGAATGTATATATTGGATAGATGGAAACAACAGAATGTGAACATCAAGGCAAAACTACCAAAGAAGAATACCCATGAAAATATCAGTATCTCCTTATTAGGCTTAGGTTATTATTAATATTGAATATAGAAGCAGTCCTCTTTTTTAGGAATCAAAGTATTATTATAGCAGTTATAAATAACTACTATAATTAATTACTTTAAAATTACAGAGTTCTTGGGAAAAAAAAGGTTGCTATATATTTCTCTAAATTATATTATTGATCTGTACAGATAGAGTCCTTATTTGAATACTACAAATTATTTCACCATATTAAACAAATAATAGAAAAGACCATAAAACTTTTAGCTTACAGAAATGTAACTATAACATGTACATTTCTCATATTCTTACTGGAGGGCTACAATTCATTGGAAAGTTGGGAGATCCATGTTCTTCTTCCTTCCATAGAGAACATCTAGATTTCATTACCAAACTCCCGCTTGCAGATGCTCAATTACCACTATGTTCAAAAAACATGAAGTCCTAAGGGGACAAAAAAAAAAAAAAAAGGCATACAAAACAAATAATTACAATTCTTAAATGTGGTTCTTAGTCCTGAGATCCCCTGGCTGCATTGCACCCAATGTATACCTTCCTCTAAAAACCTGAAAGAGTGAGAAGAAGGTGGAGGCACATTTGCCATGCCCTCACCACCTGGGTCTCTCAGAATGGGACATCCACAGAGACAGAAAGCTAGTGAAAGACCAACATGGGAACTTTTCATTTATCACTAGCCAAAGCTATGCTTCTTTTACTCAGGATTTCTGCCCTGACTTTGTTCAACCTGACTTATTCCCTCTCATTTACCTCAGACTGGAGTCCTTCACAATAATGGCTATCTTTAGTTTAGTGGTAGGGGCCCCATTTCTGTGCCTGAAAGCCCAGGTTGCTCCCACTTGCTAATGCTGCAATTGATGCACTTGGTAGCACAGGAACACACACAGCTAAACAAAACCCTATTCATGCTCAGGGCTGTCAGAGGTTGGAGAGGCCTTTCCAAACTGAAGGTGCTTCCCATGCCCCTTTGCTGCCCCTTAGCTGCCCAGCCAGCAGAGAAGCAGTGCATGATCTGAAATCGTGCCTTGATGCAGAATTGTACTGTTAGCTGCAAACAGGAGCGTGTTCCACCCTGTTTTCAAAGAGGACAGTGAGCTGCACTGCACTATTGACTATTGCTGAGAAGTGCTCTGACCAGTTCAACGAGCTTAGCCTCCACAGCAGTCCCTCCATTTGGAAATTACTGCTCTGAGAGCATTAATCCTGCTCAGTTCAGTGTTTCACGTGCTTCCAAAGAGAGTTGGGAGGCAGTGGCTGCAGCATTCAGCTGTCCACCAGCCCAGCAGGCTGCTTGGGCTTTGGATGGGTCTCTTGGCTATTGTTAATCTGTATTTTTCTGGTTTCACCACCCATAAATTTGCTTTCCTCTGCTAACGACTCTGTAAGAAGTCTTCCCTTTCCCTTTTTTCAGTCCCACCAAATATGAAACTCTTATTAAATACAACTAGCTCTGCATGTAGTCTAGAATAAGCTTATTGTCTAAAATAATTCTGTGTTGCCTTTTGTGGTCAGCTTTACACACAGAAGTTCACAAGCTGTCGCCCACTTGAAGGAGCTCAAAATTAACTCCTTTACCATCACAATTTAAACATGGAGATGAAAAAGTTAGTTTATGTTCATGTATTAGTGAATAACTTACGATCAGGAAGCAAGCACCAATCATGACAGCTTTCATCTTCACATCAAGGTCCATTGGGAATGAGATTCCAAAGTTATCTGTATCTGTAAACACCTCCCTCACAAGACCAGTCCACTGCTTAGAAATCCTCCCAACAGGACAAGTCTCATCCAGAGACTTCACCTATAGTTTAATAAAAAATTTTAAAAAGCATCATCAAACCTGTCATTCATAATATTCCCAAATCCATTTTGGAATAGGTCCATTTAAGAGCTTCAGACTGTTATTTTAATTAATACAGTTATTGAGTGTAAGGGTTTGTACCAAAAGGCAATCAGACTATCAGAAAGTTGGTCTAAAGTATTAAAGGCATGAACTTGATTCTGAATCTGACTGGGAAGTTCAATTCCTTGATAGTGCTGGGATACACACTCTGCTGGTAGTGGTGTCTTTTAGCCAAGACAGTGAATCAGTTTCTCCTGTCAGGCATCAGAAACCTCTCAAGTGAAAATTAAACAAATTACATTTTTCTGTTCACAAACAAAGGTTAGCCCTCTGGCAGCATTATGTTTTCTAAACTTAGAGCCAGTCTTCTAGGTCATGTGAAAGATTAGTTTCCTAAGTAAAATTACAGAAATTTGTTGTAGTAACTATTTGCAACATCATTTTAAACATTAAACATTGTAGCCTTATATATCTTTTTTTTAATGTCCACAAAAACAATGTTGCATTAACCAATATTATTTTAAAAGGAAAGTTGTAACTCTTCAGTCATTCAACTCTGTATTTCAAGTCTAAATTATTTTAACTTACTAGTTCACTGAATGATTATTAGATGATTAAATAAGTGGTTGAAGGAAGTCATTTTAATAAATACCTGATACAGCTTACTATATTTTTCTCAGAGCCTGACATAACAAATTAAAAAAGATTTTGCTGCTAAATATATCAATTAAGTAATTTGTGTGCAGCCACAGGGAATTCTCAGTGATCATTGATGAGTGGCTTTAACATGTAATTTCTGGAAGTTTTTCTGGTTTATCTAGAGTAATTTAAGTATCGAGAGAAGTCATTTGATTATACCAGCATTAAAAGATGATGTAAAAATTAATATATACTACAGTTCAATTGACAGGTAGTAAGTTGAGCAACAAAATAATACCAAACTACTATCTGAAAACAGGCACATGCAAACAATTTTTACATTGCATACCTCAAAATGAATGTCCTCACAACACCGGCACACAACACATGGGCCAGTAATTTTCAGAATATCCTTTCTTTTCTCATCTTGAATGGTAAACTTTGGCAGGCAGACATGCCAGTTCTGGACAACATAACCAATTGTTGTTCCTGGAGGTGCCTGGACTTCCAGCTTCACAGGGAAGAGAAAACCTCCAGGTGAATGATCATGCTTTCCTATGCTAGTGAGACAAAACCCACACCAGCACACAAATGAAAAACAACCTATTTTTCCACAACAATCTGGCCTGGCCTTAGAAAGCATTTTGCTGTGAGTGTCAGAAGACCACTCAGATTGCAGACCTCTTATTCAGCTTTTGCCTTCAAGAAAACAGTAAGTGACTCCTCAGGTTCTGGAGGACACAAACTATGCATCTACAATATAAAGACCAAAGTCCAGTGAAAGAAAGGCAGTGAATATCCCAAAAGCATTCCATGAAGGCATTACAGGGTGCAGCTACTACAAATGCCTCAGAGGAGCTCTGAGTAGGCTTGGATTTAGAGTGTCAGAAGTTGTATCATTGCAGAATTATGTTAAGAATTAAAAAACCTCATGATCTCCTATGTTGAATGCCACTATAGCTTTCAGAGCTGTATGAAAACTCTAGCTGTTATTCTATGAAAGCTGTTGCCTACTGTTCCATTCCAAGCCCATCCCCAGTGCAGACTTCAGCCACAAGTTCCCCGACACGCTGCTCAATCGGATTTTTCTTTACCACAACCAGAATTGCCCAGTGAGTCCGAGAAGCACTTCCTTCCTCCCAGACCACGAACCGCACGCACAAATCCCGCACATCTCCCTTCCCACACCTTACTGGTGAACCTGGCTCATTTCACCTCACCTCGTGGCTGGAGACAAGGCCACCTTAGGGCTGCAGAGGAGGTGGCTGTGGCAGCAGAAGGCGGGCAGGACTCACCTCCTGCAGGCAGCAGGGGCAGCAGCAGGCGGAGCAGCGGAGAGGCCGGTGCAGCGTTATCACCTCGCGGCCCAGGTTGTCCATGATCCTCATGGTGAAGGGCCGTGAGGGCCCGCAGCAGTTCCTGGTCAGGCAGTCCGTGTCCTCTGCCGCAAAGTACACCCTCTGTCCCAGCGTGTTCTTCAGCTCGTACTTGTTGTTTTCTTCAAAGCCAGTCACAACTGAAAAATGGGAAGAAACACGCTGAATTCCTAGGAGTGTCTGGTGAGAAAATCCCCGCCCTTTGGGAAGGCAAAGCCTCTCACAAAGTCTGTCAGAAGCAGCCCCTGGCAAAGGGAAATGATGGAAAGGACCCTCAAGCAGTGAAACCTGATGGAGAAGTTCAAGGGAAGAAGCCACCATGAGCAAGGACATGTGGAAAGAACTGATTCCCATCTATCCCCAGTGTCCCCCGCTAGGCACAGACACCTGAATAAGCACCACCATTACCAGAAACCCAGCAGGGAAGGTTCTGAGGGAAGAATTGAATGGATAAGAGTAAAAGGGAGTTGTGAATTGGGGGTGAAGCCAGAAAAGGGCACAAATACGTTCAGAATAAGAAAGTCACAAAAACCCCCTCAGTCAAGATTTACAGCAAAACACATCAAAAGCAACAAGAGCCAGGACAGAAATTTTAATTAATTTCTATAACAAATGAAAGCACTCTTAAAAGCTTTAGAAAGAACTGTAAAGAAAAATTCAGCAGCAGCATTAGGGGTTATCTGGGATGTATGGTCCATTTTATTCCTTCTACTTGAAAGACATTGATAATACAACTTGGATATTTTTAAAGCACAAAATGAGGAGAGAAGAAGAAAAGCCATTCAGTTTGCTAAAACAGCAGGATTGCCTGTAAAAGGGATCAAAACCAAATGCCAATCCATGGAATTAGGTGGGGTATGACAGGAAAGAAAACAAGATCTTTAAGTGAGGAAGAGAGGAGAGTAGAAATCATTGTTAACAAGTAACATTGGAAATGTGTGACTTCATCTATAACTAGCTATATATCAACTATAGCATTTATAACCAAGATTATTCAGTTGCATTGCTGTGTATCTTTTGAGATATGGAACCTACTAAAAATCTTCTTCCCTCCTATTTTTCCTTCCTCTCCTCCACTTCTTCAGGACTTCTGCAGGAATTGAGACAGGTAATACAAGAAAGAAAGGTGGCAATCACCTTAAAAACAGTGTCAAAAAAAGCCTAAACTTCACTGCTCTTGGAATTATTAGATTTAAATACTTTGTACTTACTTTCAAGAATTTCAAGTTGCTGATGAATTAATATCTGGTCAATCTGCTCATGGTTGAAAAATTAAACAGAATAAACAGTTAATAAGTTGCAATTAAGAAAAAATGTAGTTTTAAGAACCACTGCTGTTTCTTTTTAGAATGAAAATGTATGGATCAATACACAGTGTAGAGGCGGAATATCTCCCAATTAAGCAATGGAATAGCTTGCTCACCTCCTTGACCTCTCCAGGTTAGCAGAAGAGTGCTCCAGGGCACTGGAGCTGATGGGGGAGCTGAACCCAAACTGGTTTGGTGACAAGCACCCAGGGCTAACACACCTGTGCTCCTTCCAGGACTCAGAGCCTGAGAGAGCTCTGACATCATGTCCCAGAGACTCCACACAGACAAAAGCAGGAAATGAGGGTATTTTGGAGTAGAAGCCCAGCTACTGCTCAGCTCTATGGAACATTCAGGGGAAAATCAGCCTCTCCTCACCAGTGCTTTTTTTAAATTTTGCTTTTTTTTTTAGCACTTTGCAGAACTGGCAACAATACATCAGTATTAATCTTTCCAGGGCTGAGATGAACTGTATGTTACAGTACAAAGACATATTCAGTAATGTGGAAACATTTTGCTATTAGCATTCTCTATGCTGTGAAGTCTGACTGACAGCTCTACTAACAATATTAAGAGGTGTGAAGAAAGCATCACACGGAAAATTAAGTGCTTCTAATGTGCTAGAGTTGCCCATATTATAGGTATTTATTCTATACACCTTTCCAAAGGACGTTACATCTCACAAAGAGTAACTTCAGAAATGGGAAGGATGTATGACAGCCCCCTGTCTCTCATCCTTTAGCACCCTACTTGGCAGGAGGGTACTCCACGAACAAGTGCTACATCTCCAACAGGTATTTCTGCATTCAGATAATACAAAAGGCCTCATTTAGCAGCCCACAAGCAGCAACCCATGCCACTGCAACATAGCCAGATGCTTTATTTAGCTATTTCATGGATGCAGGCTGCTTCCCAGAGCAGAATGCCTCATCTCTGGGGAAGGAGGAAGGGTGCAGGTACCTGTGTGAGGTACTCCAGTCCAGGAGGGCAGTTGGGAATAGAAGGAGGGATAGGCATCCAGATTGTCCCACCCATGGTGGGCTGGCTCTGGACAGGTGGAGCGACAAATCCTCCTGGGAACCCCATGGGCTGCGCCTGGAATCCATAGTTCCCTGTGACATTTGGCAAGGTAGGAGAGATATGGTTATGAAAGTCTGGTTATCAGTAAGAACCTGCTGCACATTAATTTCAATCAGTAACACCTGGCAAACCTTCCTAGCAAATTCCCCAGAATGACCACTGAGGAACAGCTGCCATTTTTAACTCCTACCATGGTTGGTACTGCTCAGCACATACTAATATGTAGAACCACAAAGGAAAGAAATTACTTTTTAGCAAAACTGAAGTTAAAAGAAACTATATGGAATTAATAGCAGAAAAGTAAATTGGAGATGATCACCCTTTACAGCCTCATATTCCTCATGCTTATTTCCTAATGGTCTCACAGTTCTGTAACCAAGCCACCCACCTTGGTATGTCCCAGGGACCTGCTGAGGGGAGCCATAGGGCATTCCAGGTGCTGTGGCAGGTGGAGGTCCTGGAAAAATGAAAATATCCTCTGAGTGTGGACCATTTCCTCCTGCCCTGGGTGAAAGATCCCCAGCACTGACTCCTTTTCCAGAGTACACATAGAACAAAATCTAGGCAGCTGTTTCCTGTATAGCACAAATACACATCAAGATCATATTTATGAGCAATGCATGCATCAACAAAACTTAGTGGAGTTCTGGTCCTTAAAGCACAGAAAAAAGACAGGTACTGCACAGGATGTCATCAAGATGTCACAGAATCACATAATTGTTTAGCTTGGAAGGCACCTCCTGAGATCAACTAATCCAAGCCCTACTCAAGCAGGGTCAGTTCATTCTGCCTGGAGCAAAGATGCCTTTGTTCATTGATATTTGGATAGAGGCTTGATTTTAAAGCATTGCTAGGAACTGACAGGCTGCCTTCCAGTACAGAACATGGCAGTGATCCACTCCCCTCTGTGTAAAACCTTTTCTCCTAATTTCTTCAAGTTCAGACTATACTAGTGCCTCACCAGCAGATGGAGAGTGTTATGGATTTAAAAACATTTACCAGCTTTCATTTGTAAGCACAAATAACTTGAATTTCAAGATTACTAAATTATTTTTTTTACTTAACTTCAGAAATCAAGACCTGAAAATGTAAGCTCTACATTTTGCAAAATAGTCCATTTTAAAATGTAAATAATTTCAGGTTAAAACATTCATACATATTTCATATAATTAGAAGGTAAGCTAAGAGCTAAGCTAATATTGCTTGAATGTGCTGTCTTTGATGTTAGCAAAAGTTGACATTTTGGTTATGTTTTACTCACCTTGCATTGTTGTAGATCTGCTTATAGTTCTGCAAAAGAACAATTTTGTCTCATGATTTTTTAAATATATAATTTCACACAAGACCTATTCAGAGTCCTCCATTATTGATAAAACATATTTGCCTCTCTCAACTGTATGGGAAAACAAAATTACAAATACAAGCAAAAATAGACTTGAATATCTCAGCTTCCTCCTAGGCTATGTCTCAACTACTACTTAAGTCTGGCTCTTCTATGCCCACAGTCGTGCTTTGAGTATCCTGAAATCATCCCCAACACAGAAAACACTGGGATATGCAAGCCTCCACTGTGCAGCCATTCAGAAATATCCTGTATTTCATATGAACAATTTACTGCAGTAATTTAAGGGCAGCTGGCTCAGTGTATTGATGTTGGCCACAAAACCTGCTCAGGTAAACCCTGGAGCAGCCACACTACCACCTACTCTGTTCTTTAAGCTATTCCATTTCTCTAGTGGTACTACTAAATAACACATGTCCAGTATTTGCCTTCACAGGATAACAAAGTGTGGTTACCAAGAGGAATAAAAAAAACCCAAAAACCAATGAAACAACACAGCTCACAGCAAAAAAAAAAAAAAAAAAAAAAAAAAAAAAAAAACAAAAAAAAAAAAAAAAAAAAAAAAAAAAAAAAAAAAAAAAAACCAAAGAAAAACAAAACAACAACAACAACAAAAAAAACCACAAACAAACAAACAAAAAAAAAAAAAAGAAAAAAAGAAAAAAACCCACAAAACAATCTAACCCAAAACAAAACAAAACAAAACTACACACAAAAACCCCCACTTACTGATACCAGCTTAAACCTTGAGAGTTATCTCTTTCTCTGGGGTAATGAGTGAAGCAAGACAACAGCAGCAACTGCTATTAGAGACAGATCCAAGTCAGGAGATCCAAACATGGAACTGTAAAAAAGAATGGAACAGGCACTTATTTTTAATAGGATTGAACGCTTTAAAATAGAAAAAATAAATTTAGTTGTTCTCTAAAAATAATCCAATTCAAGTTAATGATTTGTTTGGTGTGATTCTTCTAACTACTTCATTTCAATGAAGATTGTTGGTCAAAGCTGGGAAATGAAACTGAAAGCAATTCCTTCCTTTCTTTCACTCCCTGAGTAAAAGCAGATTTCACAGGGTGGTGTCTGATGCTTCTGGAATGTCATGCATATTCAGTTGCTCTTAAACCATTCCTTTTTAATATACTTTTTCTTCTACTTTACTAACTCCTCTTTACTAACAAAACCACCGTCCTGTTACACACACTTTAATTGGGTTCTGGTCATAGGGTAGATTGGAATGTAGTCACTATATGAATGTAAGAATATCACAAATTATAGAAGAATAAAACTAGCAAAAGATCAGTTTATGCTGTGAGATGTTCCAGCTACATGAACTTCAATGAAATACTGAGAATTACAACTAAACCCCCTGGTAAAGGGAGAGTAGAGACAGAAATCACATGATTTATTTAAAAGAAAGGTTTTGTAGTCGTCCAGAATCTTTCATTGTCCCTACAACCACACACATAAGCCACTGTATAATCTAGGATTTAGAAAAGGTCAATATGCTCTGTAGTAGGAAGCAATAAAGATTTTAAAAAGCACAGCCCACATTTCATTCCTAGATCCCTTTTTATGAATGTCCACCTTTCTTTTCAGTCACTTTCTCATTTTCAGAACTACATAAACCAGCTACATGTCCCTTAGCCTCATGTATGTCACTAGATATGCTGCAAGTAATTCAGACATGTCATAATTATGTTAACTATAGGGCTTCTGCTCTTTATCAGAAAAACAGAATACTAGTATGACAAGTAGTTTCATTTTTTCTCCAGCTCACTAAAATATTGCAAAGAGCACATTAATGTAATGAAAGCTCACAAGCACAAGCATGCTTAGTTGTAGAACAAGCCAAGCCCTTTCCAAGATTTCTAAGAAGTTGTAATATTCAAAAAATAGGAAGCTGAATAGCCAGGAGGCATGCAGTAGTTTTCTTTTTGAGGCTATTTTTCTTTTTAAGTTGCATTATATTACTGTTCAGCCCTGGATTTGAACCCTCATCACTGGAGAAACAGCACGCTTAAAAATCATCTCAGTGATCTAATTAAATGAGTTGGTTTTGTCCAGTGCTAACAAAGTATTATTCAGAGAAGGAATTAATCTCTTTTTTGTTCTGATGGAGCAGGACACCCTCTCCCCTTACAGAGTTTTCCCCCGGGAGCTGGGAGCGCCAGCCCTGGCAGGTCACCGCCCGGGGCTCAGCCTCGCTGGGACGAGCGCACAGCACCGGGCACAGGACCGGGAACAGCCCGCTGCTCCTGCCCGAGGGGGCTCTCCGGGACAGCCCGGGCAGCAGCACCTCCCCTTAACGCAGTCCTTGCGAGCCAGGTCCTCCAAAGGATCCATTCTAACCCAGCCGCTCTGCCCACCGGACGAACGCGGCGCTCGCCCCCGCCAGGCCCCCGCCCCAGCCCCGCGGATCGCGGCGCATCCCCTGGGGAAAGCCCTGGATACCTGACGGGAGGTGTCCTGCATGGAACCCCGCTCGGTAAGGACGCTCCTGTGTGCCTGTGTCCCGCCGTGCCCGTGCCCGTCCCGTGCCGCTCGGGAACTCCCAGCGCTGCGGGGCGGGGAGCGAGGGCAGGGCTGGGCTCCGGGCAGGAAACTGCGGCCAGCCCGGCCGAGAAACGCCGCTATTCCAACAGCTTCGCTATTCGTGACATTTACTTTTTTCATTTCTATCAGCAACAGTGCCGATTCAGTCCTCTTAAAATGAATTAATTAACTTAATTTCTGCCATTTAGCCAGTGGACATCAGGTTGCACACAGGTGATAACACCAAGATCTATGTCCACCCTGAAAGCGGAACAAATGTATTTGGAACAATTTCACCTTGCTTATAAGGCCGGACCTCAGGAGGAAAAATATATTTATGTGGACTTCATAGTTACAGGAAGAAGAATGTACAATACTGAATTGTTTGGGAAACAAGGGACTTGGAGAAAGTTGGCTCACACCCTGATTAACAGCTCTGATGAACAGATCTTCTGCATCCTCTTTTGTACATTCATGTACGTCAGATTGGAGCTGCTGGTGTCCACATATGCCAAAGGAAAGTTGCTTCAAAGAAAACTGTATTTCATGTAAAACACATAAATCTGATCACAGTAATTGGTGCATGCATAAAACCCAAGACTGGGATTCAATAAGTGCAGGTCACCTGCTACATCCTCTGTAGTCTCTACATCCTCTGTAGTCTTTGTCTTCTACCTCCCAAAAGAAGGTCTCAATTTCAATATTAAACTTTTTCCATAAAAAATACCAAACCAAAAAAAAAAATCCCACAAAAGTATTGTTCTAGCCCTGCTCTGGATTTCACCTAAACACCAGATTTGACAGGGATTTGGGGATTTTATTTTGCTTGTTTCCTCAGGTACAGAAGAATCTAATCTAAAGCTGACTAGCATTTTCCCACACATCTGCACTGAGTCCACTAAGAGGATTAATAGCAGACACCAAGAAATAGGTTTTAAACAACTCTTAAGAAATAGGTATAGAATTATTTTGACATGGTTGGGAAATCAGAAATACATGGTAGCTTTTGATGCTACCCTTCTTTTTTACAAGAATATAGCATAGTTATATTTAGCTTGGTTCAGATTTATGCACTGAAACTCAAATTGTATTGCCGTGCAAACATGACTTTTTGACATAGAGATGAACGCTATTTCTTAGATGATAATATCATTGTCCTATCAGAGACAACAAAGATAGCAGCAAATCTCTTCCTTTAACACGCCTATAAGTAGGGAAAAAACTTATTCACCTGCAGTGGCAGAAAAAAAGATGCCATGATTCACAAAATACAAAGTAATTTATCAGTCTTTCCCTGATCAAATATTCTCTTTTTTTTATCTAGCTAGGATCATTGATGTAACTGAGAGTCAGTGTTTTTCTGTTAGATCAGGGGGTTGAAATGGTCAGTACCTTTTAATTTTGTCCAGTGTGCAGATATGATCAGCAGGGGAATGCCTGAAACATTAAGAAAGATAGTTGCAGTTGTTTCAGGAGAAATAAGAAAATGACCATGCTCCTAGTATTTAGTCTTTTACGTTTAAGCATGTTTACCTGAAAATAAACATTCTTTATAGGTTCTTGACCCTGATTTCTAGGATTTCTATGTCGCTTATGGTCTAGATATTTCTACTGCTTTAAGTTCTGATGCTCCTGATGTTGGCTCTTCATCTGATCCTGTGGTGCCCAACACCAGAAGTGGGACCAGTTCTTCCACCTGCTTCTCATGCAGAGGTCTCCAGTGACCTGGAGTTGGGTTGATGAAAGCAGCTCTCATCTTTCTTGCTAACATCCCCTAAACAGCTCTCAGTGCTCAGGCAGGACATCTGTGTGAGGGGACACGGGAGGAAGTTCACTCAGGGCTCTACATGAGAGCAAACAGCCTTTGTGCAGCTCAAACTCTGTTTCACCTCATTTAACCTCAGGCATGGCATTGTTTGCACTGCTAAGGAAATAAAAGTGGTTACCATGGGGTTTACCTTCCATGCCTGTGGACACAGTCCCAAAGAAAACTCCCTTCTCCGGTGTTTATAATCTGGAAAGAAAACCTGGAACAGCAACAGACATGGGAAATGAAGAGAAAGATAAGCTGAGAGTAGTTGTCTTTATAGAAAAGAGACAGGATGTGAGGTTTGAGGCACAAACTTGAGGGGGCTACCAGGAAATAAATTAAAAGAAAGAACAAAAGAAAAGGAAGGAATAGAAGAGAAAGAAAGAAAGAGAGAAGAAAGAAAAAGATTCCTCTCAGTGGCAGGCCAGGAAAAGCTCCTGAGCTGCACTGGCTGGAGCACCAGCCATGGGGTGCAATTTCTTTTTTCTGCTGTTTTCCATCCTTCACTTGTGCACATTTTGGGAAAACCTTTAATTGTAACAAACAGTGATAAGTCCTTTGTCTTCAGGTTACAGTATTGGGCCTGTACTCATGTGTGCAAGTGGTTATCTTAGCCTTGGAACTTTGGGCCTCAGCAATGCTGTTGGAAGGTGATTTAAATATGCAGAAGAATTGGCAGGAACATTTAGCATGTCTGTATAAGTTTGGGGAGATGTAATGAGTCTGAATCAGTTAAATAGATTCAAACTCTGTTCTCTAGCTGTGGTGTGGGGGTTAGGCAGATAGATTCCCCCTCACGCCCTGTGCTGAAAATAAAAGTGATTCAACTTTCTGAGACTGAGATTATAGCATTAGTTTTATTCCTGACTTTTGATGACAAAGTGATAATGACCTGATACAATTTTCACAACATTTAGAACTTGCTTGGAAAGTTTAGATTGTAAAAGACTGCCTCCCACCTAACTATTCACATTTAAGGAATCTTCTCCAGAATCAGTAAGTTATTTTCCTTCTTTCCATTTATAGTACATGTTGCATCCAAACTAGTAGTGGTTTTGAAAGCAGGTAGGCAAATAATGTAATGTTCCAATAGGCAAAATCTACATTTTAATACAGCATGATGAGTCTAACATGAGCACACCACCAGTGTCACAGACATGATGTACATGCAGTAAAAGGCAGTTTAAATCCAAGCATTTAAAAAAGTACATAAATTGCAATTCTTGGTATTACTATTTCTTCGATATGGAACTGGCAAATGGATTCAATCCTGCTAACATTTGATAGGCATCTGACATCCCCTGAATCTCAGTGTAGTTCTCCTTTTGGTAGTTAGGCCTTCACTAATTTAATAGAATATGCATTCATGAAGCCAGAAGAAGCAGCTAACACATCATCTCTGTATTAAAGATTTGTAATTGTGAAATTGTAAACAGGCCTGTTCATTTATTTGATTTCATTCAACAATGTCAAGTCAGTCATCAAGCCTGCAGTCTAACAAATGACAGGGAAACTGGGTGAAAATGGGTTTAGTGTTGTAATGTCTTAGTTAATTCAGCATCCAGATAACATCAGTGGACAGTTATGAGTTCCAAACCACATACAGTAGCATCCCTTATATTTTTATGTATCCTGGGGAGCAACATGTCCCCCTGTGCTGTCACTAACAATCGTAATAATCACTCACAGAGGAAAAGCAATTCCCGCCGAGAGCTGTCAGCCATCACCATCAGTCCCTCCTCAAGATACTCCAACACAAGGGGAAAACAACAACTGAACAACAATGGAAGCAATACCACACATTTGGTTTTGCTACTAAATGTTTTTGTGCCACAGCAGTTTCTTTCTCAGGCTGAGAAGGGAGCTAAATAAAGTTTTACTGGTGCCAGTCATGCAAGGTTTTGAATGTCAGCGCTGTGGATGAACCGGCATAAGCTGCTTTGCAGTCAGAAAATGGGATATTGGGAGGAAAAGAGCAACTCAACATAAAGAAATAGGCCATTACAGTTTACAGCATGTAGGATTAACTGTGGTACCAACAGTTTAAAATGCAGCTTGTGTAAATCCTGTTTTCTGCTAAAGGGATATTGCTACTGCAAACAGGTACTTACAGGGAACACTTTCCTAGGCATGATTTTGTTCCTAAAATAATAAAAACAATACCAGCCTAATTAATGAAATACACCAAAAAATTAAGTCAAGACAATCCCATCCTGGGCAGACATCCAGCTCTGTATGTCTGAACTCCCAGGCTGCTCAGTTATCTTTGTGTTTTTTGAGGGAGAAGGGAAGGCAAGTTCTTTCATTTAAGCACTGTTGTTGTATGTTGAGTCATAGTGGGCCTTGAACTCTCCTTCTCTCCCTCCAATGCCTTTTCTCACAAGCACACACCATGTGTGGGTGGGATTCACTGATCAAGCTGCTCTAGAGCCAAAATTGCTGCACCACTGTGGACTGGAATAATTTAAAGCAGTTATGGCAGGACACCACAGGCCTTGAGCTGACACTCCCCTTTGAAAATGAACATTAAACAAAGCAGCCTGTAAGCAGCAGCCCTTTGCCATGGTGCACAGGGTACCTCTGGCTCGAGGGCAGGAATCCCTCTGCTCCCTTTGCCCATCCTCTGGAACCCCTGCTCGCCAGTCACACCTCTCTGATCACAGCAAAGAATGTACTGCAGCACCCAGCCCAAGCACTTCTATCGACATGAGGACAATCGGAGCAATGCTGATACACAGAACCAGGCTGAGGGGAGGATGTTTTTGAAACCAGCGAAGTCCAAGTTAATGTGTTTCATAACAGATTCATCTGATAAAAATGTACTGGGACCTTGAGGCTTCTGTTAATTAAGAAGATAATTAAAAAGTTGTAAATGTAGGATCACTAGATCTGTAAGAGTTTATGAGGTGAATTTACAGCTCAATTAAGAATGAAAATTGAGGAAGCCCAGCACTAGGCACTGCTTCTTACACAGACAGCTGGGGGATTTCAGGAGGTTTGGAAGCTGGAGAAGAGAAAACGTAGGAAAAGGAAAATGGAAAATATTTACATCAGATATAAATCTTGTTCACTATTAAGACTTAGTCACCCATGTCAGGTACTGTAAACTCTTTCCTCACACTGATTACCTGGGATGTGGAATAATCACACATGAAGAAATTGCTCATCAAGGCAGTGGCCCTCATGCT